GAAGAATTCTGAATTTAGAATGTCCATTGCGACGAATATCATCTTGAAGATGTAGTAGCAGTGTGATAAAAAAATGAAAGAGACCACAAAAAATGACCATAATCAGAAGCTCAATTCAGGGTGTACAAAGATTTTGAGCGAAAAATAATGGCACAATTTTACATTGATTAATCGAATATTCGGTGACCGGTAAACTAGAATCAAAATATTAATCAATCCATGATGAATTATTCATTCATCAGCGCAAGCTTGAATCAAACAATGAATAAAAAAAGACTGGCACGTTATATATATGGCAAAGACCATCGCTGTGACACTCTATTCAATCACTTAACTTTTGAATGAGGCAAACGCGAAATAACATCAACAGTATTCAGTCTAAAATGGAAAGAAATATTACAAAGATTGGTATTACTTTCGCGATGCCGAGTTGACTGTAACAGTTACAGACAATATTCAAATCGTACAGAATAATTGGATCCTAATAGCGATTACTTTACAGCATGACAAGCGCAGTAAAGAGTAACAGCGCGCGTTAGAAAAGCAATGTCCCAGCACCAATAGTGGAGCTATAAACTACAGGTGACGTTCACAAACACCTTGTCTATAGTTGTTGTACTCACGGCCACGGCATGTCGACCTGCTGATCAATAAATGTCAATTACAGTTGGACGCTGAAGGAAATATAGCGATGGTCCTAGATAGAGCAACGGCTACAAGATCTATTGCTAGCAATGAACTCCCGGCACCAAAGCCAAAGCGATTCCGCTTACGAGTTTCCGTTTGTTGGAGAAATTTGTTCTTGAATTTCCACTTGAATAATTAACAAACATTCAAATTAATTTTTAGTACAGTTGAATTAATTTGAACAACTCAAATAATTCTCACTTTCAAACAAGCTGTTTGGGTGACATAGCTGTAATTAACATATTTTTCTAAAAAAAGCTTTATTGCTTTTTAATTGATGGCATTTAAGGATATCGCGGGAAAATGAACTGCAGAGCACCACACAAATGACGACGAAAAGTTAGATCAAATAAGGTGATCGTCTTACCTGCAGCTTCATATGTTACACAATTTGTGCTTTGCACAGAATGTAAGCTTCAGGTTTGGCCTCATTTAAAGAATGATACCAAGTGCCAATTCCAAAAGCGTCAAAATTCCTGCAATACATGTTCATCGTTGGAAAATATGTCCAGCGTTCACCATTAAATGTTGATGCGAGGAAATTCTGCGGCAGTATCAAGCATAACCAGTTCATATCTCCACACCACGTATAAAACGCTTACTCGTAACAGCACATGGCCAGGCTCTCTGCCCCCGCTATCTAGGGAAGTTTCTGAAGCGTTCCTTATTTGTTGTGGTCTCTTTTATGTAAGTGCGTAGGCAGGCTGTAAAGTAAGAGCTAGACCTCCCACTTGGCTGACCGATCTGCGACAAAATACAAAGGCAAAGGTGAGAAATAGTCCTGAAGCGTAGGACTCAATGGACTGTGAGGGCTTAACGCCTTGTCGCACGATGACGACTCCATGTACAATGACGGCAGTCGATGGCTTCGTTCTCGATAGTAGATTTTTTGGGGGGAGTTTCTACTTTTTTTTGAAGAACCAATTACTTTGAAGCGAGAGTTAAGCACCCCATATTTAAGCACACGTCACTTTAAGGGAAAATTACAGTGACAGTGCGCTTGAGTTATTGAATCTGTTACATTTAGAATTAAACAAATATTGCATTTCTTAACAAAAACCATTGAAACATCAAAGTAATTGTTGGCTGTTCACTTGTCAAGAACAAAATTATATTTTTTAGGTTATTTGCCGAAACGAAGGAGCGAAACTTTGTCGTTTCCCCGTAATACAGTTTCACATGAATGAAAAAATGGTTTCCTTGGATAAATTTTATAGAAAATCCAGAGAAAGTTTTCACGTACTCAAAATATCTCTGTACTTATCTTAAATCAAGTTGTTGCACCAAAAATATATTCAACATAATTAAATTTTCAAACGCATATCTTGAAAAAAATTAGAACCACAATAATAAGAGAGCGTATTTAAAATGATCAAAACATAAAGATATAAAACCCATTTCCTATAAACTCCGACACTTCGGAGATTTCCTCCAAACAAATTGTGTTCGTCAAGATCGACCTCACGTGCGATGATGACCCCAGAGAAGCGCCCACAACCTGACACGACTTCCACCCACTGAAATGTACGAATTATTCGCTTCCTCCACATCGTTATGGATAATCAACTCGCAGTCGTCAATGAACTGAATTGTGGGTCGTGCGGTGGTTTTTCAAGCTCAATGTATTCGATTCATCGATAATAATTGAGGCTTCAACGTAAAACGTGTTGAGAAAGTGACATTAAATATTCCAATTCTTTGGCTTGCTTTCTGTGTTACGCCTCCAGACGGGATGCCAACAATCAAACCCAAATTGTTAAGTGAAGCCAAAGTTACGATTGCATTTAAAATTTCATGAGTAGTTTGAGTAATGGGAGAATAAGATGAGTATTATATAAACCCGTTATATCATCATTATCATAGAATAATCGTTAAGAAAAAAATACTCGTCAAAAGTATTTCGCAATGGTCAACAAAAGTTTGCGATCATATATTCCACTAATCTAATAAGATGCGCTGTCATATGTTTGTGATCAAGACCGCGCTTAATAAGGGATTACAACAACTTCGGACTCAGTTGCCGATACGAAAAATGACGGACAAAAAAATGAGACATTTATATTGTATACAAATGAAGAGAAACCGTTAGCTGCATCCATAAATTAGCTTAGTTCAGCTTGATAGCATTGCAATTAGTCACAAAATAATGTCGTTTGTTCTCCAAAGCAATTGCTAGTGTCTACGTGTAAAATAATAATATTGTGCAGCGTTACCAAAAATGAACGAAAGTGTTGAACTCGGCCATTGGTCATTAACTTATCATCTGATATTTCTAGGCATCGATGGAGTAATTAATATTGAAATGATTGTACTAATGAAGCTCAGGTAATTAATACTTCGAACGTACGATATTAGGCCTTCATGCGTCAACCGTACCATTGTTGGCTTGAAGCGCCATGTACGATTCGCCTCGATAACCAAAGATTAAAGTCAGGATAAAGACCTCATCATGTCCAATTGCATCTTTGATGAGAGATATTTGCATTACAATGTCTATTGAAAACGGAAGATAAAAGTAAAATTTTGTTTATGCTAGGGATCAAAAAATTTCGGCCGCATGTATCTTACCAATGAAGAAATATGCTATTGTTTTCCTATGCCTATGTTCCTCTCCTGATGACGTACATCTTGTTAGTTGAGCCGTGGAATAAAATGCATTGTATTGCCCCTTGAAATATTTATGCTCGAGACTATAATCCAGCGGAGAATATGAATCAAATATTAGTGAAATTTACTGGATTAATTACAACACGATTTTCTATCATAAATTGAAAACTCTGTAAATTGTGAGACGATAATCGAGGTGACAAAATTCTAGCTGGGACTTTTCATAATGAGCGCAAACTATCAAATTTTTTCCTTTTATTAAACAAATTTAACTTTTTCATATTGAAACTTCAAAGCCCGGTAAGTTTTATACATGCTTTGCTGAAATTTATTTCCGAAAACTGCTTCCTAATAACCAGTATTTTTTACCGTCATGTAACATAGAAAACATAAATAATAAGAGTGACAGTGATGCATTATGAACCTGCAGATTAAATAGTTTACCTCGGTATGTAATGCGAATATAATGGATAATAATTGAGCCATTCAAAATGAGTTCCTCAAAAATTCACTCTAAATTGGATGCGTAGCGTGTCTATGGAGCATTAAAATTACTTTGATTTCGTGATCTCAAAGGTATTAAAAATATAACTCAGTACTCAGTGCAGTGAGTGACAGAGAGCGCATTTTCTCGTCGACGAAAACATGAAGTCACGGACTGACAGACAGACAGACGGACATGGCGAGCACAATAGTGCATTTTTTTCATAAATGAGAAAATGCGCTAAAAAGAGTGTTATTTTGTACGATACTATATTTAGCGTCGATATGTGCCTACATGGGTAGCGTTTAGCATTGTACAGCGCGAGCTGCGCTCTCGACTAACAGATGAGGCTGTAAAAGTGACAATTGAACTGTGCCAGAGACTCGTGTTTATGTGCCTTCACCTCACACAAATTTATAAATACGGTCGAGCTTTACGGAGGGAGCTTGGGGGCGGCTCGAGATATGGCCACGACATGCTTCTGTCGCCACATAATATTCTCACGATGCACTTATAACATTTATTCACGCTTCTATCCAACTGAACGTTGCATAAACTTCCAAAATACTTCACTTGTATTTAAATATTTTTTGATAAGTGCTCAATTTGACTGTGTAAAAGATAACTATAAGTCATGAAGTTGTATGAAATAATATTTTAAGTCTCGTTCCTCCCGTATTGTCCCAAGATCATACCTACAAAGCATTCTACCTTTATTATTTTTAACCTAAATTACTGCGACCAATTACGAAAATAAGTATAATATTCATTGACACGTTAAAGGCATAAAATCTGCAGCACGTGCATAATACAGTGTCGTAAAATACGCATGTATGTATAATTATAATACACCTTAATACCCAGCAGACAATTTGCTCAGTTTATGAATATCTTTCATATATTATTGCTAATTATTGGAAAGTTGATTAAAGTAACTGCATGAATTGTCGTTGACTTAGCAGATAAAAAGAGATTTTCTAGATTAATTTTTAAGGTTAAGGAACTGATATTTGAACCTCAAACTAAAATGTACTTCGCCTTAGAAATAAGGGCTGAAATTCCCCTTAAAAGAACCCGGAGATAAATTCATCAGGCAAAAATTTACTTTTAAGTTGGCATGTCAAACGTTAAATGATATGAACATATATCAAAATATTGTTCCAAGTTAATTCTATAATATTAATAATTATAGTTAAAAATACGGAAAATAAACAATATTTACCGAATTGTGGCGGCTGGCGTTGCTGCAGACCGGTCGTCGCGAGCTCACCTGGAGGAACAAAATTAATTATTGATAATTAATAATGTTTAAGAAACATTATTAATAATTCTTAATAATAATTAAGAAACAGAATCGAGTGATGGAAATAAAAACTTGAATTCTTCAATGGTAAAAAGAAAAATGTTGTATATATTCTAACGAAAGAATAAATCACTTGTGTATCTGCCAATGGAAGATTTTCTTAGGCATGTACTATTTTTAAAAATCACACAATTTCAAAGCGACGCGAATATTAATTTTGAATTATTCATTTAGAAGTACCCCGGATCAACATAAGCGGTGAAATCACCAAAACCTTGATAAATAAGTCAGTCTCCACTTAATTAAAAACCTACGAATACGAGGATTCTTTATTCGCAATAATGAATTTAAAACGCCTGCTACAACCAGAAATTGCGCCACTAACAGTTGCAGTGTAAACTAAACAGTTGCAGTGTATTTAGGTATACTAAAAAAATGTGATATAAGCTCAAAAAATAAACAAATCGCTTTTTTTATTTTACTACCGCAACATTTGGTTATTAAATTAAGCAGGTGAAGTTTTTTTTTGCTGCTAATTGGCAAATAACCCATAAATTGCATTATTGAATTCATTAAAAATAAAATTGATAAATCGTTTCCATAGAAAAAATGGGGTTAGATTTACTTTCGTAGGAAACTTGCTTGTACTATGCTATCTATTTTGCATATTTGTTCCAAATTTAATCGATTCCTTCTGAAAAACATAATTATTCGAAAATAATCAAATGGTTACAACGAATAAAAGGTTATGTTCTATACCCGCACAGGGAAGTATGAAGCAATTTTTGTCACATATAATGTTGAATACAACATAAAGCATCAAGTGTTTTTTACACTTCTAACATTCAAACTTGGAAAATGAAATGCATTATGTCGTACTTCAAGACTAACATTAAGATTGACATTAGCCAGAGATAGAAACAATATTGATTTCGAGGAAACTATAACAAAATTATTCTATTATAGGTAAATTATTAGTCAATCTCGTAGAAGAAGTCCCCAATCGAGAGTCCATTAAAATAAAGAAACTTTTCAGAAATAAATTATGTTCAACAATACTCAATGTGCGTTAGCATAAATCATACACATTTGGTATTAATGTTGGCAGCATAACACATCCATCAGGACTGCATGATTGCACAAGTTCGCTACGTTGCTTATGACTGCATTGATACGGAATAATTATCGCTGGGTCAATAAACATTGTTTCTTTGATAAAGATTCTCGTTTGCTAAATGCTAGGCTTCACCAAATCAAACACAAGCCGCTCATTACCAAATGTTTGTTAAATAGATGGACCTCAACCGACATAACACAAGTCGAATGCGCTCTGCTTACTTCGATTGTTTCGACTCGTGCACTCGCAACTAATGAAGGCGATTGTTAGACTTTGTTTGTTTTCTTTTGAGTCCTCAATCGAAATTATTCAGCTATTATAGATCTGAAGATAATTTTCCTTAAGTACTATTGTAAGAAAAAGCGTACTTTAGAGTTGATAAAAATTTCGTGGTGTGAAATAATTAAGAGGTATCTGAATTTAAGCGTTAATTTTTTGTGCTCATTTTGAGCACGACGAAACATCAAGAAAGAACTGTCGTTTTAAAACAATGCCGAACGATCTCGATCACTGTTCATAAGCAAGCAATTTCACTATCAAGTTATTTGTTACAAATTGTCTCAAACCCCATATTGTTCGCGACATTAGTAAATACGGTATGTGCCAGTGTGTGTGTTTAAGACACTAAGAAAAATTGCTTCGGGCCGACACCGACGAAATTTGATCTAGCTATTTCTACTTGAAAAAAAAAACGCAATCTGGAATACACAAAACATACAACATCAAACATCGATATAAAGTCCATCTCAAATAGAAGTTTTACGGTACTTTTGGCTACTTACAAATCGGTTCTGTTGGATTTATCCCAAAGACAGCATAAAATTTCTGCAATAAGCGTACACAGCAGAGCGTCTAATATGCTCGCCAGCGCTCCACGGGATCGCGACGAGGACCAAAGCTACATTTTTAGTCAAGCTCGGTTAGGAAATTTTCTGAACGACGGTTTTGCGACACGCATAGCTCGGCCCGAGAGGAAAGAAAGCCTTCCTTAAATTATGGGGGAGCAGCGAATTTTCACCATCGGCCCAAAAATGAATTATGCTCGCAACATCATAACGATGAGACCAAAAATTGTACGACGTCTGAAAAAAAGAGATGCATCTAAACTTTACGCGCAGGTGATGCGAAATATGCTGGATATATTTTACTTTACTGTACAGAAAAGTTGCAATTATGATGGTTTAAATATACGCGTTACTTTCGAGGCCGTTGAAAAAATATTCAAGCATTAAAAGTACGAGTATCGTAAATAAAAAATAGGATGATCTACGAAACATTCTTGTTCATCTACTGTTATTTCAAATTTTTAAAGCGAGTTAATTTTGCAAGAATAACATTACTGATGCACAGTAGTCATAATTGAATCTTACAAAATTATAAATTTTCACATACGATCCATGCGCAAGTGGTTGAATTTTTATAATTTTTAGTGGAAACTTTTTTCATAAATCATAAACGTTGGGGTGAATTTTCAAATACATAATAATATTTTTCGACATAAAGAGAGGCGCAAATGGTATTTACAACTTTTATAAACTTTACTAACTTCCACAAGACCAAAGAATGAATGTTACAGGCCAATGTCTCATACTGAAGGTCATTATTCGATCACCTTTCTCATTGCCAATTTTCTGACCAGGATATCCCCAACCAAACGAGTTAGGAGCGCAATTCACAAAAAATGACTCTTTTTCTGGGAAATGTTATATGAAAATGACATTCCTACCGAAAGAAACGAACGAAACTGAAATTGGAGCTTTAGCGAGTTGTCCTAATCAGGGAGCAGTGCATTAGCTGGTCTCCTAATTTACGTGCTCAGAAATGAGGTAAAATGCAGCAGAAATACGGCCTTCGGGGTCAGTGAATAATAAATGAATAGCCTGAGACCAGAGTGTGAATGAATTGTGCGAGAACCCAGACGAGTTCTAGAGTTCTGCGGTCGAGAACGACTTTGTCGGTTACGTGGAAATACCTCGTGGATATCATCATTAGTGCCTGACTTGCATTTGGATTGCAGAATAAAAATCAGGATTTGAGAATAGAATTAATTATATGGGTTTCAGAAACAACTATGTAACAATAAAAATTAAATTAAATGTAGTTTACGATTATTCGATTAAATATTGATTCTGGTTGGAGTAAAAGCTAAGACTGATTGATCCATTATGGTATACGAGTGGGAACTGGGAATGCATATTCATATATTAATTTAATTCTTAATTTAAGGTAAAAAAGTCTAACATTAAATATTTAGTGTAAAGAGTTAGAGAAATTCTAGTAAAAACGCTGCTCATACCACGACATTAATGATCACATTAGACAGTAAAAATTATACAGCAGCGTCAATAATAATAGCATAACACGAGTTTAAAAAGCGCTAATGAAGGATATCATTCAGCCAAATAATAATAAATTCAGTTAATATCAACTGCCTTAAACAATTAAGTGTAAAATTGTTTATTTAACTATTCTTCGATTCACTGAATGTTCTAGAATAAATTATTTAATTGAAAACAGAATCTCAAGGAATTATATTTCATCGGAAACGTCGCCTGAAGGACCAGACCTACAGCAGCGGAAGCTCTGCGCTGTAACATCGAGAAGAAATGAAATGGCTTCCTAATAATCGTAATTTGGAGCGACTTCACTTCGGCTCAAAAGCTCCAATTTCAGCCCTCGTGGTTAATTTTGGTCAATTCGGCGTTTTATTGTCGCTTTTAAACGTCGTCGGTGATCAGTCTAGGCTGAAGCCTTCGGAAATGACAGAGATATTTGAACGTCACCTTCACTCTACACACGACCTTCTTCACAAACATAACCTTTAATCTACACACAGCCTTCTTCCCAATGTCACTTTCACTCTACGCCTCACCGTCTTCACAATCGTAACCTTCAATCTACACCCAAACCTCTTCACTATCGTATCCTTCATATTACACACCAGTTTCTTAACGAACTTATCCTCTTCACTACTCACAACTTTCTTCACAAACGCCAATTTCAATATGCACACAACATTCCTCACAAACCCCTACTCCACTCCACAAAAATCCTTCTTCACCAAATTTTCCTTCATACTACAAACAACCTTCTTCCTAGGCGTCACCTTTTCTCTATACACATAGTTTTTCGCAATTTGTTTTTACTTCATTTGATGTGTTCAACGGAAATATTCCAAACAAACCTTCTTTTTAGGCGTCATCTTTTCTCTATACACATCGTTTTTCGCAATTTGTTTTTACTTCATTTGATGTGTTCAACGGAAATATTCCAAACGCGCTTTAATTAAATACTATCGAGCGCACTTGCGGTAACATACGGTGATAATTTATATACGGTGAAAATCTCATACGCGTCTGGAGATCATTCAATTGTGCATCAAGTACTCAGGAATACATTATAATTTTGCATCAAGTACTCAAGAATACATAATAATTGTGCATCAAGAACTCAGGAATACATCATAATTGTGCATCAAGTACTCAGGAATACATCATAATTGTGCATCAAGAACTCAGGAATACATAATAATTGTGCATCAAGAACTCAGGAATACATAATAATTGTGCATCAAGTAATCAGGAATACATCATAATTGTGCATCAAGTCCTCAGGAATACATTATAAACATTCAAGTAACATTTCCATCCATCAAGCAAGAAGAGGTCAATTGTATGGTTTCGTTTTCAAGGAGCTTGCGACGTCGATTCTGTAAAATTAAGCTTCCTTATTACATCGAAGTGCGGTTGCCAGTAGCAATTTAGTTTCACTCAATCAATTCCCTGATTCAATCTTTACAAAAAAATTGGTTCTAGTCTTGTTATTTACTAGTGTTGTTATTTTGTGGTTC